CTCACTCACCAACAGGCAAGCAGGCCGCTATTTCTCCAGAAGGGGCGAAGTGCTCCTCCTCATTGTCGGTGTGCAAGTTTGGCGACACACTCGTTGGAGCGATGGCTAGAGCAGCGCTAGCATCAGAGCAGCGCTGCTGGGGAAGGAGCAAGGACAGGAGGAGGAAGACAAGGACTAGGAACGGGCAGCACTAGAGGTACTTACCTGGATATGGTGGACGCCATCTTAATCACCTTGGTGGACGGTGCATCTGGAAGGCCCCACTGGGGTAGAGCTACACCAAGAAGCTTCAAGGCAGAGTCAGGGATGGCGGCCTGAACAGGAGCAGCCATAGCTGCTTTGTGTTGTCCTTTGCACAACAGGGCAATACCCTGGTAGTCCGCCATAGCCTCGGCCTTGGAGGACGAAGGAAGAAGGGTGGCCATAGCTATGGTGGACCTCATGTGATACCTGCAATAGAAGAGGGATTTAGACGTTGATTCTGGTTCAGCCATTCAACATTATTATTATTATTATTATTATTATTACTATTATTATTATTATTATTGTTATTATTATTATTTCTTGTTTGAATAAGAGGGGAGGAGATAAGGAGGAGGAGAGTGGTTGGCGAAGAAGAAGGGAATTATCATTGGTCTATGCTGGTGTACATCTTCTTCTTCTTCTTTCTTTCTTCTTCTTCTTCTTTTTTCCCTCTCTCTCCTCTCAAGTTCATTCATTTCTTTTGCAATTGGATGGCATTGTACTTTCTCATGACTGTGTACTTCGAAATTGGCCAGGATCATAACATTGGTATCAGAGCGGATTCTACTTGCTGGTGAGAGTTGACTTATCCACCCCAACCCTAACCTGAATGGTTAGGGCTGACCACTTAGGGTTGGGTTTGTCCGAAGTGGGAACTGGGGCAGATTGGGTTGGGAAAGCTGCCCCCACCTGGGTAGGCCGTGTTGGGTCGACACTGGACCTAACCAGGTTGATTGAGAGTGAGCATCTGGTGGCGAGACACATCAAGAGGACTTCATGCGACAATTTGAGAGAGGCGACAGTGAAAGGCACTCGCACCTAGAATCTGACCTAAGGGAGACACTTGGTGACTTAAGGGCCTCCCTCAAGTAGGCAAGCTTGAGGGAGGTAGCCATTCAGCATATACGGACTGCAAGTTGCTACTTTGTTCTTCAGCATCGGCGGGGGATCAGGCGTTGCACTTTGGTGTTGGAGTCAGACCCTCCTACATGATAGGACGCTAGTGTAGAGGTAGCAATAGGGTGAGGGAGACCATATGAGGAAGGGGGGTGAGTTATACTTCATCTCAAAGTCTGGGCCACTCAGGTAAGTGTCGTGCACCTAAGGGTTGCCCATGTGTGCATGCATGGTATTGTTTGTCGTATACTTCTAGGTCTCGTTCCTACTCCGCTGAAGTCTAGGTTGTGCACATTGGTGTGCTGACCTACTGACCTGATGGATGGAGAGATGAAGTATCTTGCTTTGAATGGCATATCTTCCTACAATGCTTTGTCTTTTCATTCTGAGCGGATGTAGTCTGTAGGTTCTCTCTGAAAAGTTGAATTTCATTTTTCAGTACGGTAGAGGCTGAAAGGAGGACCTTGTGGTACTCTTCTTGCTTGGGACTTGGTTGCGACCAACGTGAGACCCATTGGGACTCAGTGGGACCAGGCCCGAACAAAGAAGGGCCCCTTGGACCCAAATCTGTTGAAGCAGTGTCGCTCTCTTTTCTATCTGGAATCGATTGTTCTTCTTTTGGTTAGAGCACTTGCTGCCGAGGGGATCTCGGCTGAGATGTTTTGCGGAGTGATGATGCACCATCCGATGCTTGACCTGCACCTTATACACCACTCATTTCTCCTTTGTTGCATGCCGTCACTTGTAGTCTGAATTGTTGTACTTTGACGGTGCCGACCAGATTAGGCTCGAGGGGATTTCGTACTTGGTCTGACCGGACTAAAGCGTGCAGTCTGAACTCTCTTCTGAATTATATTTTTTCTTTGGTGGCTCTCTAATCCAAATGCTTTACCACTCCGGTTAGGAGTTCTACCTTCTCTCCTTTGTGCTTTTTAGTCTGTTTCTTTTGCTGAAGTTCATTTTATGCTCGTCGAAACAAGTGGACAAGAGAAAAGAGAGAGAGAGGTCATGCCAACTGAGGGATCTAGTAGTTCTAACATGGCAGCGACCAAGCTTCTGAGATTCTGAATGCTTAAATGGATGCAGCGAATGACGAAGATAAACCACTATACCAGACCCTCTACCAAAAGGAACTGGCCAAAGAGGAAAAGGAGGAAGAGGTCAAGCGGAAAACCACTCTCGAAGGTTATGAGGTCATCTTTAAAACAACCTCAACCCAATCTAATACAAAGGTCAAAAGGGATCTGGTCCCATATGTACGTGCGCTTATAGATTGATACTTGTTCAGTGAGCTCCCTAGTCTAAAGTCCCAATTACTCAACCTGGCGAGCAAACTGCGGACTCAGATGGCAGAAATGGCCCAGGAGCACCGTGACCAGATACCGCAGATGACAAATCTGCATCAGCCCCAGATATCAAACTCCCTTTTCCTACCTCTTATTGCTAACTGTTTTGTTCTTGCACCGCTTGATACTTATTTTTCTCCTTCTTATTCTTCTTCTTCGTTGAGCTTGGTTGCCAGTCTTTTAGGACCTGCAATAGGCGTCGATTCCGCTGGCGCCACAAGGGACAGCGCGGAAAATTTTGCAACTGCTGCAACCCTAAGACCGAAACCAGCAATGGCTGGTCCCAGTTATAGCAGTCTATACATGGATAGAAAGTCGGTGATGATACCGTCCAGATACGATGGAAAGGAAGATGTTGAGTCCTGGATCAGCTCCATGAGAGCTTACTTTGAGATACAGGGCACTCAAAGAGTGAACTAGTCTTTGATCCTAGGAACAAACGTCGAGGTTGTCGTAAGGGGCTTCCTCGAAGTCCAAGCTATACAAGCTGGGTATTCTAAGATCGATCTGACGGAGTGGCTCAAAGTCACCCCGGCAGCCACTCTCGAAGAGATACTAATTGCAAAGTATAAAGACTCATATGCTGCAACAAGAGTGAGGATCCAACTTGATGACCTCAAGCGCGACACGTGGCAGGGCACCATGCACAAGTTGCAGTTGCATGTCAGCAAACTCTTTGCAACACTTGGGTTGCAACTGGCAACAGAATCGTGCTTGAATGTAGTAAAAAGTATGATTCCCACCACTTTCAAAAATTGCTAAAGCAGGGATTTCTTTGGTTATACCGACTAGTTTTCCTTGATGAAGGATGTAGTCAATTTCGAGGCAGCAGACCCCGTTACCACAGCAAGCAGCAAAACGACCTTCGTCTGTGGGCGGTTTCGTGGCAGCAACCGTCTTGCTGCACTTGAATTGTTGGAGGCTGAAGTAGAGGCCGAAGTAGATGACCCCACTCTTAGCAACGACAAAAAATTGGATGCTCATACAGCCTATTCTTCGACTCAAGAATCGAAGATCAATCACAAAGAAGAAAAATTAAGTGCCTTCAAAAAGACTATCCATGAAACAAAAATCGGAACTCGGTAAGGAACTTCGTCGCACTCCCTAAGGAAACCAAAATCCCACCCAATCTGGAGGACACAAGTACTAAGTCGTGGGTTGACCTCCAAATCAATGAGGCTGAATGGAAGGCTAGATTAAAGAAAGGAGGTTGTCTGCATTGTTACAAAACTAATCATAAGATCCAAGGATGCTTTAGGCTGCAGAGAAACCTAAATCAGGCATAGAGAGTTCAACACACTCTACGGCAAGGGAGTTTGAACTGGTAAGTGGTAGTTCCTCCAAGGAATTTGGCACGGTCTAGCAGTCCTCCCTTGAAGCCCCAACTTCTGCTGATTCCAAGGCTAATGCTTGTCATGTTTTGTATATTGAGCCTTGGGGGGAGTCTAAGAAGGTCGACTTTCACTATCACATAGAGCATGGGGCTGAGATAAAATAGCAGCGTGCTCAAGGGATAACGAAGTTAATCTTCTTCAAACTTTTCATTAACCATCTCTATCTCTGTATCTTGATTGATTGTGGTGCCACAACTAACTTCATGTCACCACACGTGATAAGCAAAGTGGGCTTGGGGATGAAGCAAGTGGCTTTGCAGAGCCCTTGCCGGACTGAAGTAGGCAACAAAGAAGTTGTTTCATCCACGTATGCAGTCAAAGGTGAGCGCACTACCTTGGACCAAGACAAACTATCACACAGGCGTTAAACTTTTATGTCCTTGGCAAGTGTCCCTTCGACGTAGTCCTCGGGTTGGGTTGGTTACTGTCCCAATGTGAATAGACCAAGTGGAAGGAACCGCTTTTCATGGTCAAAGATGCACAAGGGAACGAGCGTCCCGTCCTCTTGGATGAGAAGCTCGAATCCCCGGTGATTTTTCTTAATGCCATGCAGTTTTGCAAGAAGTGGCGCAAGCATAAGGAGGATGAAGAGTTGTATGTTGCCTTTGTTAGTCCTACTCATGTACTTTCTACTTTTGCGGTCAGTAATGATTCTACTTTGCATGATAAGTTTACTTTTATCCCTACGTTTACTTCTATTCCAAATGATTTTACTTTATATTCTGTTGTCTTCACTAATAATCTGCGATCTGATCAAGGTGATCCTTTTTTTATCTCCCACCCCCGCCGATCCCAACAACCATCCAAAGCCTACTCGACCGATTTCCGGAAGTTCTGGCCGAACCCCTCGGAGTTGAGTTGGTCGAAGGCGTTGTTCCTCCAAGGGGTTGTGTATACCATAAGGGATCCGACGAGTTGGAGGAGCTCTAAAAACAGATCGATGAGATGATCGACGAGGGATGGATAAAGCCTAGTGAATCCAAATTCGGTGCACCCGTTCTGTTTGTCCGTAAGGAAGGAGGCAAACTTCGTATATGTATTGATTATCGCGGTCTAAACTGCATCACAATGAAGAATGTGTACCCATTGCCATGCATAGATGATTTGCTTGATGCTGCAGGTAGGTGCAAGGTCTTCTCCAAGATCAATCTCAAGTTCGGCTACCATCAGATTGAAGTCGATCCTGCGGACCAGCACAAGATTGTGTTCAAGACACACGACGGGCTTTACGAATTCACCGTAATGCCCTTCGGTCTCATGAACGCACCGGCCACCTTTCAAAGTCTTATGGATAACGCCCTCTGCGAACAGATTTGTGGTTGTGTATCTTGATAACATTCTGATTTTCAGAAAGCCAATTGAGGAACACATGAAGCACCTTGAGGAAGTGTTCCTCAAGAAAACGCAGCTTTATCTTAACTTTGAGAAATCTGAGTTTGGGAAGGAGTCATCTATCTTGGGCACCGGTTGTCTGTTGCAAGCCTTGAGCTTGAGGCAACCAAGGTTGAGGTCGTACGCAAGTAGCCTCAACCCGCGAACGTCCGTGAGTTGCATTCTTTTCTTGGTCTTGCATCATACTATTGAAAGTTTGTGCCCCAATTTTCTATTGTTGCTCGCCCGCTATCCAAATTAACAAGCAAGAACATATTTGACACGTGGGATGCAACATGTGAGACCGCTTTTCAGGCCTTGAAAGAGACCTTGGTAAGTTATCCTCTACTCCACATTGCAGACTCCCAACTCACATTTGTAGTCACTGCGGATGCGAGCCAGTATGAGATTGGCGCAGTACTACAACAAGATGACGGTGATGGTTTGCGGCCGCTCGAGTACTACAGCAAACGTATGCTCAACGAAAAGGTAGTTACTTTCACTTACATGCGTGAGGCATTGAATCATTGGATGCACTATCTTTGGGGACATTGTTTCAAGGTCTTCTCAGATCACGAAATTTTGAAATGGATTAAGGTGCAAACTACCTTGCCCCCTATGTTGACTCGCTGGTTCCATGAGATTGGCATTTTTTACTTCAATTACAACACAAAAAGGGTTGTTATAGTCGAGTTGTTGATGCATTGTCTCGTGACCCCGAGTATACGACTTGCCTTGTGAACTCCTACGACCTCTGGAAGAAATTGAAGGAGGAACTCGTAAAGCAAACTGCCAATGATCCAGACCTTAGTCCAATCATTGAGCAACTACGGACTAACCCCAACAATCAACCTGATTTTCACGAATGTGAAGGTCTGGTTTTCCAACGCTACGGTAAGAATGATCGTTTGTGTGTTCCCAACCATGAACCTCTCCGCACACACTTCTTGGATTTCGCCCATGGTCAGTGTGGATACTTCGACATTCCAAAAACCTACGGAAACCTATTGCAACAATTTGATTGGCTTGGGGTGAAAGGATCTGCCGTAAAGTTTGTGGTTGAGTGTCAAGTCTGTCAACGAATCAAACCATCAAGGCAAAAGCCTATGGGGCTGCTCCACAGCCCCTTTCCATTCCCAACGATCCCGGAGAGTCTGTCTCCATTGACTTCACAGATATAGGAAAAACAAGTAAGAATGGGTATTCACACGTGATTATGATTGTTGACCACTTTTCAAAGTTTCTGAGTCAGATTCCCTTACCACCTCATGCTCCAATGGATCTCGTGATCCAATAATTCCACCAGAAGCACATTTTGCAGTTCCGGACCCCGGAAACCCTTGTGAGTGATCGAGACCCGTGCTTCATAAGTACTGCTTCGAAGGACTTCACAACCCAACTCCCTGACCTCAAACGAAGTATGATATCTGACGGACATGCCGAAGCTAACGGTTTGGTTGAGGAAATTAACCAGACTATTCAACTTCTTCAAGCATTAATTATCCCGGTTCACGAAACATGGGATGAAAAATTGTATTCAATTTAAGGGGTTGTACAACAACTTCATTCATTCGTCCACCGATATGACGCATATTAACAAGCTGCATTACGGTTGGTTGATTCATACACTACCAAGCAGTCCGAATGGATGAGCAACTTGATTCAAATGTAGGTCGCTCACATGGAGCGGATGGAACACATAATGAGCAGGCTAATTAAGCCTAACCTGACCCCTGCTCGGCCTGCCCCCGCGTCATTTCCACTCTTGCCTGCCCCGCCTGCACCAGGATACACACCTCAGTTCCCTCACCCAGCTTATCCAACAGGAAAGATCGAGTGCTTTAACTGCAAACAGCCCGGACATTTCGCCCGAGACTATCCGCAGCCAAAGCGTAATCAGCCCCCACCTGTTGCGGCCCCTGTGGCCCTGAATCAAGGACGAGTGACCGCATTGATGGATACGGCCCAAGGAAGAGAACTCGTGGCATACGAGCAGCCTTCCCTCTTAACGGCAATAGCGTCAACATCGGGATCTTCTTCCTCTGACGCTGATGACGTGGTCGATCCACTGGAGTATCTTCATCTAGCGGGCATGATCGGGGCGATCCGATCGGCCCCCGATGATCTTGAATGGGTCGATCGCGATTCTAATCTCGGTCCACAGTTTAGGACGGGCGAAATCGATGTGTTACGAACGCTCAAGCAGCTAGATATCCGTGTTCCGATTCTGGTGGGATACTTGCTCACCATATCTGAAGCTGCAAAAGACAAGCTGTTACAACAATGTCTGAAGAATCAGAAGAGTTTCACATACCAGCGCGTACAACGAATGTTAAAAAAGAAGGAGGAGGAAAAAGAGGATGTTGCGCCACCAGAACCTGAAACGGGCGAACCCGAAGCCGCACATATAGCAGCGATCTTTTTAGCAGAGAAGGATCACTTCGTACGAGCTCGGCCGGTACTGTGGAAGAGCGCGGAATGTGATTGTGAAGTTTGGGGCAAGCCGTTTAACGCCCTTATCGACACAGGGGCTTCTGCAGTGGCCATATCATTAGACATTGTCAGAAAGACGGGACGACCCGGATCCATTCTTCCTCAATCTGGCAAAGATAATTATGTCTTTGCCGACGAGAAAGCAATGAACATCGTGGGCATCATTGAGAATGTGGCTGTAAAGGTTGGACGAGTACACGTCCTTGTTAACGCACTAGTAATAGATGTGCGTTCCTATTCTATGTTGTTGGGACTACCTTGGGCGATGGCGGTAGGGGCCCGTCTGCATTTTGATTCAAAACAACTCGTGCTCACGCAAACTGGGGAAAGCCTCAAACTGTTCCCTTGTGAATTTTCACCCGAACGATAAAACGAACTCCTAACTCAGCCCAAATAGGAATGATTCGATGCATTGATACCGAGGAGTATTCTTCCTCGGACATCGGCAGTGGAATCGGGGAACAGGAATACGAAGAAGAACTGCCTAGTGAGGATGAATGGAAGCACCTGGTCAAACTTTTCGAACACGAAATTCCCAAGGAATTTCGAATGTGCCCCGACACTGCCCGAAGCTTCCACATGGATTCAGGAGACAACGCGCTTGCGCCTCTGAAAACCCAGGTCAGTCATTCAGTCCTCCTCGGGGAACCCCTATTACAAGTATCTGACCTTGCCGATGATTTGGAACCCCCTCGTACCTTGTACAGAGGAGCACATTCCTTACGAACACGTTATCAACAAACGGAACAATATCTAGACGTTTCTGTTTTGCCGCCGAGATCGTTACTAACGACGGGGGCGACCATCACTTTGATTAAACAGGAAGCAGAAGCGCCGGTACATGACGTGCCTGACCTGATGCAGGAGATGACGGACCTTACAAGACTGACTGTGGAGCAGATTTCGGCCGACTCAGAAACTGATGCCGAAACTAAAGAAACCGAAATGATCAGCCCGCCGAATCACAGATGATTGCGACTGTCTTCTCTGTTCGCACCAGTAGTTCCGTCTTTTCAAGTGTCTACGATCGACGGGAGCGGTCGGTTGATTGGATCGACATAGCCCTTAAGACTTCTGGGGAATCAACGATCACCCTACCGAGCCACGTCCCCACGGAACTTCGAAACTCACTAATCAATGTTTTGAACGGTTATGCAGAAGTACTGAGTGTGCAGGATAATGATATCGGCTTGACTAACGTGATCGAGCATGCCATCCTCACGGGAGAACATCCGCCCATTAGTTGCGCTCCTTACCGATACTCGTCTGCTCAAAGAGCGGCCGCTTTTCAGCGGATTAAGGAGTTCGAAGCTAATGGATGGATCGAACCCGCTATAGGTCCATGGTCTTTTCCCATAGTAATCGTGCCTAAAAAGGCCGGAGGGATTCGCATTTGCATTGATTATCGAAAATTGAATGATATCACGATCAAAGATGTGTACTCCCTCCCCCGGATTGATGAATTGTTGGACGCGATTGGGAGTGCTCGATTTTTCAGTAAGTTTGATGTTCGCCATGGGTTCCATCATCTTCTTGTCCGAGAAGAAGATCGTCCGAAAACAGCGTTTGTGCTTTTCGAGGGTACGTGGCAGTGGATTCGATGTCCGATGGGTATCTGCAACGCCCCCGCGACCTTTCAGCGAGCCATGAATATGGTTTTTCAGAATTTCGTGCGGAAGACTCGTTTGGCGCAGAGCATCATCAACTACTGTGTGATTGTGTACATGGATGACATTCTGGTGTACTCGAGTTCCTACGAGGGACACATGCAGCACATCGAACGGGCTTTACATGCGTTACGAGATGCGGGCTTCAAAGTGGCGCTTGAGAAGTGTCAGTTTTTCCTTACCACCATTTCCTTCTTAGGACACGTGGTAACAGACAAGGGGCTCCAACCGGAGCCGCAGAAGGTGGCCGCTGTCAGGGATGCGCTTGTGCCTACGACTATCACGCAAGTTCGCGCCTTTTTGGGCCTGGCCTCGTACTTCCGAAGATTTATCAAGGGCTTCGCGGCGATCCCGGAACCCCTCACGAATCTGCTGCAAAAGGATCAGCCGTTGATTTGGACGCCGGAGTGTGATCAGGCGTTTTCGAAACTCAAGGCCGTTCTCATTTCGGCTCCGGTCCTTATAAGGCCGAATCCCGAAAAGTCTTTCATCCTCATTACTGACTGGCAGCGAGAGGCAATTTCGGCAATCCTGGCCCAGGCGGGACCAAGTGGACTCGAGAGCGTGGTGGAGTATGCGTCCAAATCGGTGTCCACCTGCAAGCGCAACTACGCCGCTCCAACGGGGGAATGCTATGCGGCACTCTGGGGAATCAGCCACTTCTGTGCGTACTTGTACGGGGGGAAGTTCACATTGGTGACCGATCATGAGCCTCTGCTGGCTCTGAAGAAATCGAAGGATTACTCGGGCATGATCGGGCGATGGGCAACGGTGCTGCAGAGCATGGACTTTGACATTCGTCATCGGAAGCACGAGAGACACGGGAATGCGGACAGACTGACATACCTGCACCGGAAGTGACACAAGGATCGATTTGTGTACCCTCTCCGCAATTCGGTCCCATCTCTCCTCCTCTGTCATCGTGACTACCCCATCTGTCTCTGCAACCCCTTCCTCTCCTACTAATTCTGCCCCTCTCACTTCCTCTGCTTTCTTTGCCACCATCCCCGATAAATTCTGTTTTTCTTGTACGTGTATTGCACGGGTCTATGGGGTCGACTGTCATCCTTTCGAAACTGGGTTTGGCGATTGGGTAGAATGTGCCACGTGTGTCAATCGTGCGCATGGGGCCTGCGTTCGATATCGGACGAGTAGCAAGGAATGGAGGTGCCCCCTGTGTAGAACGAACAAACTCCCCACGGAGGTTCGATTTGAGGCCGTCCGTACGGACGGCCCTGAATACGACGAAAAATACCGACAAGCGGAAGTTTGGACGGATAAAATTTTATTGGCGAAATTAGCGGGATTATCATTGGGACACCTCACCAAACACGACAAACGTAGGGCAACCGAGAGATCTCGGGACTATCGGTGGATCAACGGTCATTTGGAGAAGCGTAAAACTGACGGATCGGGTTCGTGGTTGACGGTTCCCCACCCATTCCAGAGATATGATTGGATCCGATTGGCTCACCAAGAACAGGCCGCTCATTTCGCAATACGTGTCACGGAGGCAACTATAGACCAGAACCGATGGTTCTGGTCCAACATACGAGATGATGTCAGATACATTGTCGCCAACTGTCTGGTCTGTGTCGCTGATCGCGCCCCAATACGGAGACCAAACACGATAGTACCAATGGAAGTAGAGCGTCCCTTCCAGCAAGTCAGTATGGACACGACAGATATCGACGTGCCACCTGACCCAAACCGCTGTGAATATTCTATCCTGTTAGTGTTAATAGACCATTTTTCCAAGTACATCGAGGTCTATCCCTATAAGACCTGAAAAGCCGCAAAAATAGCCACGTACATCGAACGGCTCCTCTATACCCATCTAGATACGGAAGAAATTCTAACCGACAATGGGTCCGAATTTAAGGGGGAAGTAGAGGAACTGCTCGCACGAAGGGGCATCACGCTCCGACATACGGCACCCCACGTGTCCCAGTCGAACGGGTTGGCTGAGAACGCCAACCATATGATTAAAACCGCCCTTCGCAGGAATTTAGCGGCACACGACACGCGTCCGTGGCCCGAGATCGTATATCAAATCGTTGGGATCCACCGGGCCACCCCTCACGAGTCCACGGGGTTCACCCCTTTTCAGCTTTGTACTAATAGCCTCCCCTTTGTCGACTACCGGGGTAACTCGGAAATTGCCGAAGCAGGGGGTAGAGACACGCGTGCAGCCCTCAAGGCCAAAGCCAAAAGGTACACCGAATTAATGGAGCGGGCCGTTCCGAAGCTAGCCCAAAAAAGGCAAAGGATGACCGGTCTGGCCCACGGTAGGCAGGTCCGTAGCTACGAGGCTCGGAATGGAAATGCTGGGCCCCAGCATCAATATAAATTAGGGGACCTAGTGCAGGTACGTAAATGTGCACGTGACTGGAAACTCGCTCCCAAATTCTCTGGCTGCTTTCACGTTGTCGAGCTCGGTCCTAATGGCGCCAACACGGTGCGCATCACGCCTGAGGCTAGTGCCAGCCATAGCTCTGTCCCCATCGTCCGGCATACCTCCTACCTTCGTCCTCTTCCTCCCTCTCCTCTTCCTCCCTCTCCCCCCTCCGAAAGCGAGGAGAGCGACGATGATCTAACTCTCTCTTCGCTCTCTCCCTCCTGCCCTTCGTCTTCCCCTCCGACCTCGCCATGAGTTTCATCACGGAGCGGGCTCTTGACGAACAACTGTTGCAGCCACGCGGCCACATCTCAGAAATTTGGCAAGTTCGTCATCCACGGCTTAATACGGATCTTCGGCGTTTGGCGCAGTTCTTTTGCGACGTGGGTGTGTGTGCCACCGCCACGTTTCGATTCGAAGGGAGCTCATAGGCAGTGGTACTAGCGGAAGTAATCGAAGTTCATCGGGGAGCGGCCCCCGGAACGAGCCACGTCACCACGGTTGCGGCTTTCAGCGGCGACATCAGTTCGCTCAATCCACCGTGGCATACCGCGATCTTAACCTCGCTGCGAGAGTGGACGGAACAGGTGTCCAACGTGTGGCAGCACGGTCTTGCCAGGCCAGGGCACAACCTCATCCATACCTTTGCACCGGATCTTGGCGAGATCCGCCGTTCTCCGCGCGAGCCGCCAGTTGTGATCCACTGATCCCCACCCTTGTCCCATTCCCACGTCCCCAATGAACCACGCCGATCCCCTCGCTCCTCTCTCCATCTTCGGTCTCACCTCTCTTTTCCCCACCTTCTGGCAGTCCGATCTTCATCCTTCTTTTTCCTTCTCGTTCGAGCCTCTTTCTGTTCCGCTTATTAATCTTGGGCATTGGCAACTGTGGCGCGAAACTTTTGACGAACTATCCTTCTGCTTGGCCCGAGTACAGGTGACGTGGACGCAAACCAGCGAGCATCCTGCGTGGATAGAAAATTTGGAGTTGCTGATCATACAAGCTTGGAAGACTAACGTCGAGGGCGATCTTCTCGACTTTCTCTTTGGGTTGGTACGGCCAGGCCGCCGCCAGTTGATTGTGCAGGAGCTCATCGCGCCGATCGTGTAATTGGCGGACGATCTCTCGCCCGACATCTTTTCGCAAAGTGACTATAGCCCCGCTCCGTACGTTCTCGAGCGGTCATTGGACCCGTACCTACAGTGGACTGCATGCTTGGAGGAGTCCAGGGACGAAGATACGCTACCATCACGGCAGGAGTATCTGAAGCCTTACAACATCATCCCTCACGCCTTCTATCCGAAGGCGGAGGAAGTGGTGATCGACGACGACGAAGACGACGACGAAGAAGACGACGATGAGGAAACGTCGGAGGAAGGAAGCTATAGCGAGTATAGCGAGGGGGAGCTGAGTGAAGAAGAAGAAGAGGAAGAAGAAACCGGATCAGAGTGGGAAGCCTTGCCGGAGGAAGCGGCGCATACTGGCACGGAGAGGGAAGATCCTGAGGTTGTGCATAGGCAAGAAGACATTACCGCCGGGAAACGCCAACTAGAATTCGCTAGCAGAGCAAGTCAGTGCATCGGTACCAATCCGACCAGGGATCCGGAGCCACCGAAGCCCGAAGATGGCGACCCCGCAGCCGCCACCCCAAGCACCTCACGACGGAGACGGAGCAGATCCCCCTCCTCCTCCAACCCCATCCGTCCCCCAGTTCGCCCACGTACCGATGCGGGCGATAGGCCTCCGTCCTCGAACGTTATCCCACCGTCCCCTTGATTTTCTCACCCTCGAACAGATCCGCACCCCCATCACCTTCCCCCTCCATCCCTTCCTTCCCCATCTCTTCCGCGACTTCTACTCTACCCGCCTACTCGCTACCGTCTACCCCCACCCATCCCTTCAGCCCGCTGCCCCCACGTTCTGCTGGCATATCCTGTTGTTCAACGCTGCATGGGAGCGATGCAACGTGGTAGAAGTCTACTGTGTAGCCATGGGGACAATCCCCGCCTGTCGTCACTACGAGTTCTTTCGGGCGGCGCTCCTCCACACCCTCTCCTCCTTCTATCGCGGCTACCTCGCTTCTCTCCCTCATAGCGGTGATCGCTTTCCTCGCTTCCACGGGATCATCCGATATGAGGAGCTCCCGGTGACGGTAGAAGGGATGAATCGCTATCTACCCCCACTTCCTCCCCGTCGTCCCTGTGAGATCCCCTCCATGTACCACCTCTATTGGCCCATTCCAACTAGGCGGTAGATCCCGATCACGTGAATATCCCCCCCCCCCACCCTCCTCTCTTCATCTAATCGGCAGGGGAAAGCGGCACGAATCAGTAAGCTTCGCGAAGATCACGCCAGCGACGATGACGTCAACCTACGCACTGATTCGACGGACGGCAACAAAACTGGGATACAGAGCACACGGAGAACCGGCGGACGATGATGGTGTCACCTGGACGACCATCGATGATTCCAGCAGCACGATGGCAATTGAAGATGGCTGGATCGCTTGTTGATACGCTTGGTTCCTCATTCATCACTCTGTTCTCTCTCTCCCTCTCTCCTTCTCCGCCATGACATGCAATCAGGAGATCGCATAATTTTGGAACCCCCTGTGCGCCACATATGTGACGAACTACTTCCCGAACCCGTGCTATCTTTCGTACCCCTTTTCTTGCTTGTATCATACCAACCCCATGAAGACCGCGTTTCGTTTTCTTGATTTCGGGTTCCGTGTTTGGGCCCCCATCTTTCGGAGACTTTTACGATTCTCGGGTTCTGCTTTTTCTTTTTGCAATTCGGGAAGTACATGGGAATTTACGTGCGCCTTAGCGAGTGCACTGGGAATTGGGCCCGACAGTTGGGAATTCCAGGATAAGCGGAACTTCGACGTATCCTTTTTGTGTGTGAATGTTCTCGGTCTCGTTGGAGAAAACTCTCGGAATTTTGTGGGGATACAAATAGGCGTAGGACTTTCTTTTCCCGCGTCGCTCTTTCGCGCGCGGATATGGTGATTTCAATTTTGAATTGGTTTAGGATGTAGGCAAGCTGTAACTGTTTCGGTGCCTCTTTTTTCTCTTTGTTGTTGACGACGTCGCGCATGCAAGGCTTTCTCCTATCTGTCCCCCTCATCGCTCTCTCCCGCGCTCCTTTTTTCCTTCCCCCTCCTCTTTCTCCCTCCTCGTAACTGTTTTTCTCCCTCTCTCTCTCTCTCTCTCTCTCTCTCTCCCGCTCAACTCTTTGCGCGCCCATTTCCCCTTCTTGATCATCTGAATCTTCGACCCGTCTTGCGCTACTTCTCGCGCCTTTTCCTTTCTCGCCCTTCGAGCAAAGCTTGTGAAGTCCGGTCGATCCTTAGATTACTCTCACGCACCAATCAGACGTGTGGTACGGTAGGATCTGCCTATTGCGCGACGAGTCTGATTGGCCAATCACTGAGTCCCGAAGGATCAATATGGCTTCCACGAAGCACTCTTCTCAAAGTCTTCTCCTCCTATTTCTCCTCTTACACTTCGACTTTCCCCCTGCATTCTCCCTCCCTTGTCTCCCTCTTCGCTGCTATAAATTTCGCAAACGCGCCCGCAAATCTCTCTTACGTTCTCGACTCCTGAGCCAGCTTCCGGGAAGCAGTGGCTAGGCAGAGTGTTTTGATGCGAGTCGGAAAGTCCTGTCGGGCTGTCGATAGGCTGGCCGGTTGCGCGCTTGATCGCCACGACGGACTGTGGGATCTGGGCAAACCGCGTCGAGTTTACGTCAGCGGGGTAACGATCGCAGTGGTGAGAGTTAGCACGCGGCGGCCGGGATCGTCGGTGCGGGTATGAGGATCGATGATTGGAGTTGAGTGAGTGATTGGCCTGGGGCCATATTGGAATTTACGGCGAATACGCCTTTGTTGTTACGGATCTTTATCTCTGGCGTGAGTGCACGGCGGCAACGCCAAACTTTCTCTTTTCGGATTTCGTCATCTTCTATCTCGACATTTCTCCCTCGTCTCCTTCTCTCTCCTCTATCTTTGAATGATGATGTGTCTCGATGTTTGACTCTCTCTCTCTCTCTTGGATGGAAATGAGTCTGTGTGCTTTCCTGTGTCAAAGAACTTCTTCCGGAACTCTTCCATTAGTTTCCTGGGTAATCCCCAGATGTCAAAGAATTGATCTTCTTGTCTTGTGAACGGTGGATGCGTGTGTACATATTCCCCGGTTGATTTCTGACTTGTATACCCCTTTCATTTTTGCACCTTCCAAGTGAATGTATGCATGGAGATGAGCGTCTTTTTGTGTTGATTAGACGCAACCCTCAGCAGAATTTTGTTCAAGAATGCAAGAGTGTTTAGATCTGTAGTACTGAAAGCCCTGCGGATGCCATCTGCCTTATGCTGCACGACATCAACAACCGAGCCACAGGGCGGCCTCGAGAAACAAGGCGCCTTGGATCAACCGCGTTGGCTTACTAAATCCGAGTCGCGGGTCGGTCCCTTAGTTATATGCATGATCAAGCCGATGAATGTTTTCCTTTTCTCTCTCTCTTTCGGGTCGAAAATGATTGATTGGGGGTTGCGCGAGTGTTTTCTTTTCTTGATGACATCTCGGGATTTTTGCAATTGATTGATATGTGGACTGACAAGCACCCTTCGATCGGGCGCCAGCCTCCCGTATCTCCCRTCTCAACGCGGCCTTTTCCCTACAACGAGGAAAGAACACGTGTATGCGAGTGGGACGTGCGAGAAGTTGTCGCACAAATCGACGGAAGATACTACTTCCCTCCGGCAAACCGTTGTTCAGGGTTCGTAGAAGTTGGGTTTGTCATTATCCATACGTACTTTCCACCTTACTCGATATTGTTGCCATTCAACGAGTTGATCGTCATCCCGTGGACWGCGGTAGAACCCCATTGGCCGCGCACCCTATGCATCGAATGACAACGCTTTGAGCGCTACGAATCCAGGGGTTTCCACTACCGTGTATGGAGTGAGGACGAACATAGAGAAAGAGCCACAACAACCATTTCGTCAAAACGGACATATTATATTTTTTGAACGAAATCAAAACTGACTTTTTTTGCCAAAATCCGGTCGGAATTTTTTGCTCATGGGGGTCCGGCGTTCCCAAAACGTCGGACCCCCCTGGTCTATGGTTGAGACCAGATACAAAAAAAAAAAAAAAAAAAAAAAAAAAAAAAAAAAAAAAATAAAAAAAAAAAAAAAAAAAAAAAAAAAAAAAAAAAGTATCTGGTCTCAACCATAGACCAAGGGGGTCCGACGTTTTGGGAACGCCGGACCCCCAGGAGCAAAAAATTCCGACCGGATTTTGGCAAAAAAAGTCAGTTTTGATTTCGTTCAAAAAATATAATATGTCCGTTTTGACGAAATGGCTGTTCCACGCGATTAAGACCCTCCACGTCGGATTCAGAACTGGTCAGTGAACGACGACGGGAATTGATACGAAAGCGAGACACGCGAACTGTGCCGAAGCCCTTCTGTTCTAAACGACGGGCCGTAGCCAGGTGGGAAGTCCGAAAATATTTTCTGGATTGAATTTGTATTTCTCACTCCTCTCGCGCCAAACTTCCGCGCGCGCAAGTAGCGCCGCGCGAAAAACGATCGACTTACTTCATCGGACCAACACGGGGGATTTCAGTTCCGTCTGTGTCCCCACACTCAATTTCCAAAAATCCTTGGCACACCCCATCTTGCTGTTTTTCTGGGCCTCTTTCCGCACACCTAGCACTCCGAATGAAAGACAGCACAGGGCGTGAGGTTGCGCGTCACAGGGCTTCGTTGGGCCTTTGAGAGTGTTGCCAGTCTCCCCCAACTGACTCTGTCGTTTGCCTGCCGAGCCCACCTGCCCTGGATCTAGGGTGCTACAATCAATTAACGTATGGTGATTTCGACCACAAACTGGTGGCGGTTTCGGCCACAACAGGGAAACTGGTTTGGTCTCCATGTTGAGAGTGGATTAGGTTAGGACATAATGGGAAGGGTCTCGGGATGGGAGGGTTTGGGAAGCTATAACTTTGTGAGTTCTTAGGTTAGCACTAAGAGGTGTTCAATGCATCATCTAGCCTAAGGGTGATCGGCGGCGGATAAGGGGCGATGGGAGGTAGGTAAAATTCGTAGGTGTGGCTCTCAAGGCGGATCCAACCTGTCACTCGGTGGTTCCCTTTGCCTTGCATTGGTGATAGTAGGTCACAAGCCCGCGATAGGGCCTAGGTCCGCCCAGTATGAGTGATAGTAGGAGGCACAGTGTTTTGGTGTTGTCTACAAGGTTGGTCTGGCTGTTATAAGTGTGGTTTGGTCCACAGCCAGGTTGGTCTGGCTAGAAAACTCTGTTCCACCGGGAAAACATCTTACTAGTAAATGACGTGGTCCAACTGGCACAACGGAACCGGGCAAACGCAGCTATCATTTTCATTGATTTTGAAAAAGCGTATGACCACGTGGATTGGGATTTTCTGACAAATGTATGGAGAAAATGAACTTCGGGCCAACGTTTCGGCGCTGGGTTAAGATCCTTCACCAAAATGCTACTACCTGTGTCCAGGTCAATGGGTCAGTGGCACCGCCCTTTGAGCTCCAGCGATCAGTGCGGCAAGGGGATCCGATTGCCCCAGACCTCTTCATAGTAATAATGGAAGCACTATCCGCCAACTTGCGACAAAATAAAGACCTTAGGCGCATAAGAATCTCCAATATTCCACAGGAGGCAATCCCTATTTGTTCCCTGTTTGCAGACGATCTAACTATCATGATGGAAGCGACTGAATCCAACATGGAGGAGATCCAGCGGCTCATGAACAAGTTTTGTCAATTGTCCGACATGACGATCAACTGGGGCCAGAAAACAGTGAGTTGGTGGATCCACCATCAGGGGGGGAGACCCCCGGAAAACCCGCGAATCACATGGCTCCCCCAAGACGATCCCCTGAGAGTTCTGAGGGCACAAATAACTGCCAAAGGAAAGCCGACAACTCACGACGAATGGTTGGCTGGACCGGCAAAAGCGAAATTTGAACAATGGAATAATAAACACACATCGATTTTCGGGAGAGCACTGGTTATCAATAATGCAATCCTGGCCACACTCTGGTACAAGGCCATCCTATGGCCTATGAGTAAGGGGGGTCTTAAAACACTTAAGCAACAACTGGCGGCCTTCCTCTGGAGAGGCGACAGCAACACCCCCCATCCTCTAAGCCGAGTTGCATGGGACTCGGTGATCCAACCTAAGAACAGAGGAGGACTAGGAATCGTGGACCCGGCCACGCAATTCCACGCCCTCACAATCCGCTGGATCCAACACATTATCTTCTCACCTTCATCCCCATGGGTACCTTTAGCCCTGGCCCAACTCGCAGACCTAGCCCCGGAAACCCCACCGGAGATCGACCCCCGGGTGTGGTTAGAGGACAGGTATTGGAGG